AATTGGTTTCATTAGAGAGGGACTGTGCGAGACTGTCCCAGCTCTGCTGCAGAAATGCAAGGAGTCGCAAACACAGAGCCACATATGATATGCTGTGGCAGCCTTACACTACAACATTTGCTCGCCAGCAGTAAGCTGCTTCAACTCGAGAGGTCTACGCAGACCAATCTTTCCAGCAAACGCGAGCCAGCAACTGCACACCGTGGCCTGAGTCGATGGTGACGACTAACGCGAAGCCTACAAGAGAGGAGGAGAAACAGAAATAGCAGTATGACAGTAGCCTCTATTCCTAAGACACTATCTGTGCTCCCACCCAGGTGATTCTGTACGTGTACTAAGATCGCCCACATGCCATCACTGCGAACCTGGAGTGGTGAAAACCAGTGAGCATATCTGTCCTGATTGTTGTGGCGAGCATATGGAAGCAGATTCAAGGGAATCTATCGCCAAAATTGCCGCCTACAGGAGAAAAGCCTTCAGCAGCGGCCAGCGACAGATATTCGCATCAGAGCATGCACCAGTGCTCGCCATCGCACTGATCGCTGCCTGCCCTGAGAGATAACGCGCAGGAACGCCGACAATTCAATCCTCCAGCTACGCCGATTCGTCGATCAGGCCAGTAAAAGTGAAGGCCACTTGAAAGATTAGACTTATGAAACATTTCCTGTAGAGCCATATCATTGTTTTTACACAGTACTGTAATTCGTGAAAGTTGAGTTCATTTTGAACCTTCCAGAAAGAAGGGGATTGTCATAGTTTGTCAGTAGTTATGTTATATGTCACGATAGATGCGCAGCAGCTGGTCCGCCAGTCATGCAACCGTGTTGGTTCTGGCTGAGTAACGTGACTGTCAGCATACTCTAGCGAGTTCTTTATCTAATTAGCTTATCCGTATGTACGAAACTACGAGCACTTTTTTCTATAATGACTAATTATTTCAAAAGTATAATAGTAATATATATATATATACTGTAACAATTCATTTTACACAATATCAATGATAATGTGAAGGTAACAAGGCTCGCTGATGATTTTTTATTTTTTATTTTTTATATTTAATTACTTTTGCTTTTTCTCTGTAAAATGTCAAATAGAGGTAAAGATAAACATTATTATTGCACCATTGCTTAGCAGCTGTGTGTATGCACGCTGTTTCAGGGAGGAGACTTGGGAGACAAGATCAACATGTGGCAGAAGGAGCAGAGGATGTTTAGTGAGTCTCTAGTGCTGGATTGGTTCATCCAGCTGATGCTGGGTATTCAGTACATGCATGAACAGCGCGTGCTGCACAGGGATCTGAAGACTAGGTATGTAGTATTATCAGGAGTGTCATAATATAGACACTATATACCTATCTGTCTCTATCTCTCTCCCTCTCAGTCTCCCTCTCCCTCTCCTNTGTCTGTGATGTCACGTTAAATTGAAAACGTGCTCTCATCATTCGCAGAATTGCTGCTTTTACAATGCCTTGTTCAGCACAATTAAAATGCTGCTAAAAAAGCCTGTACAGAATTTTTTTTGAGAACATTTTATGAAATTTCTTATAATTACATATATTATTATATTTAATAATATACACTTCATTGTAAGGTTCATTCTTATTTTAACGTAGCGCAGGTATTGCAACATCTACTGCATAGACTTCAATGGTCTACCCTACTGCTCTACGTAATTGTAGCAATCATTGACAATTGCCTCTCTCGTTGTGACTTACAGAACACATTCTCCACAAACAATCATGATTCAAGATTGGAGATGTTGGCAGTCTCTCGGCATAATGACTGGAACTAGTACCGGTGGCAAACACCTGGTATTTGACACATCTCACTCATGAGCCGCCGACGGTCATAGGCATGCATGCTAACAACTCAAATCCGTATCCGGTTAGTAACATTGAACAAAGGGATGGTACACATAAACGTGAATTTCTAAAAAATATATAGTAGTTTTGAACCCTGTCAGCTCATACTTAAAGCCGCTTTATACTTTACCTCCTGATCCTGAACTGCTGTTTAGGCTCATCTGACATAGTCAGGTGCAGCTTGTAGAATCGCATGAGCGTGCGTCCGTTTCCGTACTTCCGCTATGTCAACAGTTGGGCACGAAATCTTAACCGCTTGACGTACGGTCACCGATTTCGGCTGGCGATTGGTGGGGATCGTCAAAACGAGTTGGGAATGTCGAAGCTGCGGGGTCAAAGGTCAAGGGGTGTAAAAGACAGGGGCGGAAGCATGTCCCTCCTTAACTTAAAGGCATAATAGGCTCATTGATATACAAAGTTCACCGAAATGCTACAGTACACTGGCCACCTTCGTAGTTAATAGTACATCTACCTTTTATAGTCAAACACCGCGTACTTAGTATGTCCAATATTCACTGCTGAATATATAAGCAAATGTTCTTAATTGAAATCCGTAATTCTGAAAGTCTGGCCGGCGCAAACGCTAAACTTGGTTGCCAAGCAAAAATAGCCTCCGATTCGTTAGGGCAACGTCACATGTTGCTAACCGGGTGTTAGCAGAGAATTGTTTGTCCCGATGCTTTAATCGACTTAATGACTATTAAATGTATTCTGGTGTATTCTGGGTATGAGGCACAAGCTAAATAATCGTTGGTGCTAATGAACGGGTACCGCACATGTCTTCATTTCAGACACAGGTGTATTCGTTTGACCAATATACAGTAAATACGGCCGTAGTGCCGTCTCTTCCTGTTTAGTCTGCGATCTCCATAGCGTCTGGCCCCCAACACCAGCCTACTGTCATTACAACGAGCGTCCGCTGATCGTGACGTGGATTCCACGTTCATTACAATCAGAGCTAGGTTACTATACAGGTACGGTTCACTGTAGCTACGCATAGCATTGCGTGCACGGCCGTCAGCGAAATGTCATGCGTGCGTGCGCGTTTTGCATCGTGCGAAAATGTCCGGGTGACTATAAATCTCGTATCACACCCTTCGAAGTATGCGCGTTTCGAAACTGTAAACAAGCTCAGTCAAGCTGATTCGTGGGACTGCGATTTCAACTTAGACATTGCTTAGTAAACCCAGCAGTGGATAGTGGCAAACTAATACGCAGTTTGCTATACAGGTAATGGTACTTAATCATACTCAGCAAGGTGCCAGTGTAACTCGTAGCATTCGTTAAAAATTGCGCATAATCAATCGGCCTATTATGCTTTAAGGTATAGGGAGGGAAATGCAAATTGCGGGCCATTCAATCTACAACGGCATCGACCTAGGCTCGTGATAGTCAGTGTATAGCATCATGATAGAAAAGCCAGTCACCTGTGCCTAATTGGAGGTCACGCAGTCAAAGTCAATCGCCACAGGGCAGATTTATAGACATTTTCTAAAGGACATGCGTCTGAGCGGTATCCGCGCGATCGAAAAACTTTTTGTTTCAGCGGGACCTGCAAATTTTATGGTTTATGAAAGAGACCATGAAATTACTTTTCTGTGCTGACTCATTCGGAGAGAAGTGCTCGGTATAGACTTTTGACACGCAAGAGTGGTTAAACATTGTTTGTTTCTCAACTGCGGTCTGGCCGAGTGAGCCTGTGTTGTGGAAAGCCCATTTTACAGGAAATTCCACACATATAACTCTTATTAACAAACGCTTACTTAGGAAATAATGAGATGACTTATAATACTATGAGATTCTGTCGATTACATTATGAATCAGTTGGAATACAGTCACTAGCACTCAAATCATTACCAGGACTGATGCTGCGGATTCCCCAGACTTAATTTCATCAGTCAAATTTGGCACCAAATAGAGCAATTAACGTGTGTACGTTCTTGGACTATTCGGATGCCACTAAGCACTGCGCCTACCTCTGTTCTGAAATTTAGTTAACAGATATTTGCTAATCGTATGCTGTTTAAATTAGAATCTTGCTACCGAGCTGCTCTGGTTGTAATCAACCATTGAGCCTATTCTTTAAGAGCCACCAGATGTGCCTCGCAAAGGGGTTTAATGATAGCCATTATTCGCTGACACCATGAAGAACGCAACGTTTATGTATAGAATAATATGTAATTATTTCGCTCCTGCTTTTTGCAATCTGTCGGTCACACTGACAGCTTCATTGCTGCAATGCTTTGGCTGACCGATGTGCAAACGATGCTGTGATAGCGGCCGACCATCTATCAGACATTTTATTACACTAGTTTGAAGTGTTGTTTTTTTTGGGTTGAACATAACGTATGTATAAGGACGTCCATTGTCTTATGCACAAATGACCTTATCAGACAGACACACCAGACACCAAATGGGCCCGATGTCGCTCTGGTCGCACTTGTTTACATAATGGCCAAAAAATTCAATTATGTAGAACCAATATTATATAGGTGAATGATTCAATCGGAACCCCCTGTGAATTAAATACGAGCAAATCTATTGGAGAAAAGCCTAAGTAATAACAGTTATTAATGATCTATCTACTAGGACTTCTATTTTAGATAAATATGATAGAGAGTTAGTAGAGAGTATTATAGAGTTTAGTTTAGTACCGCGAACAGTTTCGAAATTCGTATTCAGCTCGGTCTCACAGGTCAGGCAGGGGTAATTTATACGCAGAAATGTGGCACTGCGGTACGCGTTCGCGCACCGCCCCTGGTCGTGTTCGTAGCGCCATCGTTAGAGAGGCGCGACGCCAAGGCTTCCTGACGAATACCTCGAGCAGTTTAGGGGACGTACTTGAGACGATGCTGAGAAAGGATCCAGGCAAAAGACGTGTCGGCGACGTGAAGTGCTGCGAATACGCCTACATGCAAAACACCATCAGGGTGGTTGGTCATAGTGCGAAACACGTATAGTAGCAGGTGACATATACATGATGTACTTGATTGTTATGATAAATTTGAGTGTAGTCAATATATCCGTATTTTAAGTGTAAGTAGGAAACACATTGCAGTGGGGATTAATCAGTAGTGAAACAGAGTATACAGTGACATGTGTGACATGAGTATTGATTGTTACGATTAAACTTTGAGTTAGTGAATATATACTTATCATTTTACTTGACGTGTACGTCAGAAACATATTGCAGGGGTGGTTCGACAGTAGTGGAAAACACGCAGCACATGCAGGTACATGTGTGGATATAAGTTTATCTTGATTGTCATGTATGAATGTTAGTTGTAAATATATATCGATATTCTACTTGAGTGTACGTAGAAACAGCGTCCAGGTCGGTTCGATCAATAGTGGAAACATGCTGCAGTACATATATGTGTGTACTTGATTGTCATGTTAAATTTGAGTTAGTGAATATATATATCATTATATATAATATATTTGTATATATTGTTCTGAGCCCCAGGGTACTATCGGAGGGTACCCTGGATACGGTTCGATATATCGGAACGTACCCTGGTATTTTTATAATATTTTTTTTTATTTAGGCAATTATCCATCATATACAATACATAGCATACTTTTACAATAACAATTATTAATTCATTTAAAATTGTGATAACTACCAAGGATACATACACAAAAAGCATGACTACACACTTTTTACATTGTGGTCCTTGTTTTGCTATGCCTTGAATCTAATAATTACACTACTATCACTATCAGCACTAACTATTGAAATATACAAATTTGTTAGTTTTACCGGTCAATTACAATGCGTAAATTCTTCTCATAAGACGATACAAACTTTTCTTATGCCTATTTCAACCGAATTCTTTTAGCGAAAATCATACTCCTCTGCCTCTAATGTTTCTACCTTTTCCATCAGACATTTCTTAACACTATACTTAAAACTAGAATAAACAGAATTTGTCCTAACTTGCTGTGGTAGAGAGTTCCAAGCTTCAATTGCAGTATAAGTAAAAGAGTTTTTCCCACTGCTTCCCACCCTCGGGTTAAAAATAGACATCTCATGCACCTTCCCTTGTATTGAAACTATGGACTTCTGACGTTAACATGAAACCTTCTGTCATATACTGTGGGCCGAGATTATGTAATATTTTAAAAACCCTATTGACCTTCAGTTGCATTACCCTTAACTCTACAGGTACCCAATTTACAGCCTTGAACTCTCTAGTTCCTATGTGTGCTCTAGTACCGCACGAAGGGTCGTTGTCGTATCAGGTACCACATATATGTACCCGAGGTAGTTTTAGGTTGTTTAGTATTGTGTTTATATTTTTATATGAGGTATGTTTAGGGTTAGGGTTAGGGAACACGTCTGTAGTACAAGTCTGGTACACTTTGTGTATACATATATGTACCTCGGGTACATATATGTAGTACCTGATACGGCAACGACCCCTTCAGCTCTAGTACCTAGGTTGAGAACACATCTAATGGCTTTATTTTGACACACTTGCAGCTTAGCCCTTGTGCGCTTTGTGAGACTGCTGTACCATATACTGCTTGCATAGTCAAAATGACATTGAATTAAGGCAGAAACTAGTAATCTTTCACATGCCGTGTTTAAATACTAATTAGCTTTTCTAGAAATAAATTTCAATCTATTGTTAACCTTTTTTACAACCTTGATTCCCGTTACCTCACCACTCATGGAGTCTTCCAAGTCTATTCCTAGATACTTAACTGTATTTTTATGTGCAATTTCCACCCCATTACATCTGATGTCCAGTTTTGGATTATCCCTGAGTTTGTGTTTAGTTCCAAAAATAGTACTTTCTGTTTTTCCAAGATAAATTTTCCAAGGATAAATTATTATCATTGAGCCATTTATTCATGGAATGCAATTCTCTACTTAATTCGTCCTGTATAGTCTGTACCTCTGTCCCTGAAACTAGGCCTACTAGAACTACTAGAACTGAACTAGGCCGAATCGTCAGCATATAATAAAAGCTTGACGTTAACTGCCTTTGCCATGTCATTAACATAAATCAGAAATAACAGAGGACCCAAAATCGAGCCTTGTGGTACTCCACATGCAATAGTGTCCTTATTAGAGAATTAGGTACCTCTTACATCAGTTATTTGGCTTCTACCAGAGAGATAAGCACCGAACCATTTCACAGTCCTAATATCCATTCCGATAGTTTTGAGCTTGATTGGCTAGTAGAATTTTATGGTCAACGGTATCAAAAGCTTTANTGTATCGGAATGACCCTTGCTGCCATCAGGGATTTTTTCTTGGATGAATGACATGTTGATTACATGTGTAAGAGCTGAGGAAATAACGTTTGACCCATCTTTTATTAATTTTGCGAGAATATTATCTAACCCAATAGTCTTCCCTGTATTAATGTTTTTCAGCACCCGTAGTACCTCTTCCTCTCCCCACCGTTGTAAAAGTAAATGAATTTTCTACTACGCCTTTAATTGTCCCTATAATAATTTTGAAGACTAATCGCATCATACGTCCCTTCCTTTTGTGGTAGATCGTTCACCAAGTTTGAGGCCACACTTGTGAAATACTTATTAAAATTACTTGAAACAATTGCTTTGTCAAAACATATTTTCTCAAATTTTTAGCCCTACCCCGCCCAAGTTACTGGTTCCCTTACTTTTTTTATCACCATACTCTTTAAAGTCTGCCATAATTTTTTAGGGTTATTTTTGTGGTCTTCAACCTTTTCCGTATAGTAATTAGCTTTTGCTTTCTTAATTTTATTTTGAACTTTGTTTCTAAGCAATTTAAAATCCTTGCATGTAATTTCATCTTTACTCCTCTTATAAAGCAGTAATCTCTTTCCAGAATAAGCTCCCTAATCTCACTATCAAACCATGGCTCAATTCTTTGTTTTATTCTAACTTGTTTAATAGGGGCGACAGTGTCAATGGCCTGGCCTCTAGGAGGTATTTTTGAAAATTTTCCCATGCATGCATTATAGAATCCGCGTTAAATTTTTTATACCATTGCTCTAAATACCTCTGGACTATATGTTTCTAATGATCTAATTTTCCTAGTTTTATGCTTACCTATAACCTGTCTTGAAGTTTTCCTAGTACAGTAACTGTAAGTTAAAAAATGATCACTCACTCACTTGGCTATGATGCCCGATTGACTAATTTTGAGTGCATTAGAAACCATTATTAAATCGATGGCGGACTCACTTATATTACTTACTCTAGTCGGAGTAGTGATTAGTTGTTTGAGATCATATTGGTAGCAGTAATCTTTAAGAGCCTTAAGCATTCTATCACCTTTTCCCGTTGATTTTTCTAGAACGTTAACATTGAAATCCCCTAATATAATAATTTCCTGCTCATTGAACCTGTCAGCATTTATACTAATATTTTCCAATAGTTTCGAAGAAGTTGCCTTGTTTTGGTGGTCGATAGCATACCCCGGTCAATATATTGGTTTTGCTTTTGGTAGTAAGATATCAACCCATATAGCTTCTAGCCCCACTTTATCCATATAATTTCTTATGTTATATGCTAAATCATTCCTGGTGAAAATACACACCCCACCACCTGATCTATCTCTATCCCGCCTTAATTTCTACACTATAATTTTCAATTTTAATTTCAGAGTCATAAACTGAATCATCTAGCCAGGACTCAGATACCGCAATCACTGCAATCCTAGCTTGCATAGCAATATATCTAAATTCTTCTTTTTTGTAAAGGATAGTGGGTGCATTTAAATGAATGAAATTTAATGTATTGATTTAAAACTGAATTCTGATGAGGCGCGATGTCATGGGTCTACTCCGGTTATTATTATTCCTGTGTCGCGTTGAAACTTATTTGCCGGGTTTTGAAGTGTAGTCAGCTTGGAGCTCCTAGGGATTGGTTTCTCCGACGCTAGCACGATTGATGTATCCTGTGCTTCATCTGATGCCTTGAGGCCCCAACCTTCTAGGTTTCCTGATGAACTTTAACGAAGTTTCCAGCCAGTCGATCTCCTCCCTTCCTGTTTAAGTGTAGTCCGTCATGGGGGTAGAGGTCCCGCCTGCCCGCGAAGTCCGCCCAGTTGTCTAGATACTTTACCCTACTTGCCTTGTACATGGTCAGGATGGTGTGGTTGATGGACATTAATTTCTGGTTGATGTCAACTCTTTGAATCAAGGAACTGTACCTGAAACTACTAGCTTTCCTGCTATGTCTTTGCTGCTGGCTTTTATAATTAAACTTTGTATTTCTATCCTAGCTACCTCTAGATCCTTGTTTAGGACATCATTAACCCCTACATGCATAACTACTGCGCCCTGGCTATCTGAAACATTTACTATCCTATCTAGTCTTTCCTCTATATTTTTTGCTCCAGCCCCTTCAAAAGTTACAACACACCTATCCTTTCTATCCCCATCACTGTAAATAGCTTTTACAGTTTGCCTAACTATCGAGTCTCCAATAACTAAAAGATTGTTTAGGTAGCCAACTTCCTTTGAGTTCCTTCACGATGTATCTTCTATTTCCTCTTGCCCCATCTCCGTTGGAGGGTCACGGTGTCTTTCGTCTTCCGACTCCGGAGTGGTGTTGAGCTGATCCAGAACCTCATAGCTGTCCTGATCCTCTCTGCTCCTCAGCAGGTCAACCTCCTCCTTCAGGATCCGGTATACCGGAACGTACCCTGGTAACTATCTGATATGGTTAGGGTTGGCCTTAGGGTTAGGGTTAGGGAGTAGCTAGGCGTAGGCGACTCCCTAGACTCGTTAGTGGAGTAGGCGAGGTACGGTTCCGGAATTTAGATAGTACCAGGGTACGTTCCGGCAGTACCCAGGAGTACATAAGACCCTGCACAACCTACTTGCGCTTAGCTGAGCTAACCAGTTGGCACGATCAGCCCGCGCGCTAGCGCAGGGTGCGCGCATAGCCGGGTCTCATTTATTAGAGAGGGCGTTCCTGCCAGGGTGGCATGATATGTCACACAGATCATAATGAGCCACCTATCTCACAGAAATCTAATCACCTATGACGATTTAATACACATCGCTCTTCGACACCGCGGAAACATGCGCGCACAACTTCGCGCCAGCGCCCGCCCGGCGACCCCCACTTCTCTCCCTTTCCGCCGCCGCGATCGTTGGCCAGATCCCCCGGGAGCTTGGGTGCACAACAGTATCTGCCGGATCCGCCACAGATTGCCCAACCGCACGGCAGCAAGACGAGCCTATAAATCACCACACTAATTATCTCTCGTCTTATCATGACACCCACCGCGCTCTCAGGAGTGTGTCTCGAAGTGAGAGTGTGAGAGTGGAAACAACTCATGTCTTCTCCTAGAGGTTGCGGCTCAAGCGACGTCACGCCCGCGAGAGTGAGTGAGCGAGAGGCAGCGAGTGTGCGATCTTCCTCTACACACGGGTAAGACTACGTCGCGCGAGAGGTCGAGAGGAGCGCGAGACTAATCGATCTATGTCCGAGTGCGCGGAGACGCACGCCATATCTACCTGCACACGCAGCGGTGAGATCAATGACACTCCCCATATATTCACTAGCATCGCCACGTATGACGGCGAGATACAACCGCGGGGGACAACTGAGCTATGAAAATGCGCGCCCCGAGAGCCAGCACAGAGCGAGTATAACACCTGGAAGCGGTTGTAATCCTAAGCCCGGACAGCCCCTGCGAGAGTGACAGGCAGGCGCGAGCCTCTGCCCCACTTCCAAACGGCGACGGATGGCGGGCGGGTGCTCTGGCAAGTTAAGGTCACTGCAGATAGAGTGTCGACCGGTGCGAGAGGAGAATAGGTGCGTACAGTTGACCCGCGGCCTTAAAGACAACGCCTCTCGCGGTAATGATGGTCGTATGGCAGCTCACACAGGGCATAGCTACACGAAGCGGCCGAGAGGCAGAGTTGTGCGTGTTTGTCCCGAGTCGGTCTGGAGCGTGGACCACAGCACCACCGCTCACACTGGACCCTAGAACAACACCACCCAAGAGGTGGCCACCCAGGGTGTATCTAGTAGGGCCGACCAAACACTCTCTTACACCGCGCGCTACGACTCGCACGAAACCAACAGTCGATCATACTCGATCACTTGCTCGACACGCTCATGGAAACAGAGGAAAGTCTAAACTCTCTGTATACCAGCCTCTAAAATACGTTATCTGATGTTAAATCACCAATGTCATCGAAAAATTATTTCACGTTAGTTTGTAATAGGCCTTTGAAAAGATGAATGAGGCCAGCCGGACAACATATTAATGAGTCGTGGAAAAGGAGGATGGGGAGCCACCGGAGCGGCGCGTCGTGTAACACGCACGCACGCACGCACGACACGCCGCCCACGCACCACACGCACACGCCACGTCACTCACTTACTCACTCACTCACTCCCCCCTTCCCACACACACAGAGATAGGATAAAGAGTGAAATGGGGAAAATGTAGAATATATATACACGCCCCCACCCCACATACACACAGAGGGGAATAAAGAGGTGAAATGGGAAAAATGTAGCGAGAGAGAGAGAGAGAGGGAGAGAGAAAGAGGAGAGAGAGAAGAGAGAGAGAGAGAGAGAGAGAGAGAGAGAGAAGAGAGGAGAGAGAGAGAGAGAGAGAGAGAGAAGAGATCAAACGCTAAGAGCGCCGTGACTGCCACTGCGCGCAGTCACGGCTATTGCCCCAGTAATGCTCGTTGCCGAGGAGATGGGCTATTGACTTTGTCCACCTTTATTTCACGGCGGGAGGACGTTACGACATGCTGTCGACGGGCCTACTCGGAAAGTGTCATCAAAACACTTAGCGTCACGGGTAAATCTGTCCGTCGGTAAGCGTTTATAAATTTATTTTTAATGAGGCGGCCGGCACGGCCGTGACGACATGCTGTTGACAGAACAACCCGGAAGGTCTTCATAAACTCTGGCGTCACGTAGACTATATAGTCAGTGAGCGTGTGTGTGTGTGTGTATATATATACACATACACGTGCGCGCGTGATTCAGTCGCCTATCGTCCGTGTACCGAGCCTATCGACGATTGAGATATATATACCGGAGCCGCAGCGAACGCATCAGCCATGAATCTCCCTCGCATTCTTTTCCTTCTCCTAGTTGGCACCGTAACGGGAGGCTACGCTGCGAAGCGAAGCTCTAGACGGAGTAAAGTCGACAGCACGACAGCGACAACAACCACGACGACAACGACGACGACGACGACGACGGCTGCTCCGACCAGCACGACGGCGACTCCGACTCTATCTACACCGCTCGCGACCGACGCCGGCTACACTACTGACGACGTTTACGTCACAACGGCCAGATATGATGGTCGTTATGATGGCAGAGGAACGAATTTGCGCGATTGGCAGAGAAACAACCGCGCGGGCTTTAACAGTGAGGTGGCAAGCGGCAAGTCGGGTGCTAACGTCTTCGTCAACGGGTTCGAAGGTCTAAGACACGAAAGAGAAATTCTGCAATTACTTTCGCATCTTGCAACCTCAGTGCAACACATGTCGGAAAACTTGGCTGCCATGGAGAACCAGGTAATATATATATCTATAAAGACAATGTGTTTTCAATAAATAGTTAGGAAGATAAATCATAAAGTAAACAAATGCTCAGGTAATTTTGATTATTGTTTAGATACCCGTGCATGGTTTAGACTTTCGCTAGATGTATGATTGTTGACGTTTCACAAATCGAGTGATATATCGGGTAATATGTTGAATCGATGATACTAGTGTCTGAGTGTCTGAGTGATCACCCCTAGGGTCACTACACTAGTATAAAATGAGTGTAAATCTTTCAATATCGGTATAGGAGCTTCTCTATATACGTACCAATTTTCCCCATTAACACCGTAGTTAGGTTCCAGGAGACCGCGTCTTTAACTAAAAACGACGTTAAATGAAGCGCTCTGCAATCTGATCGCGTCCAACAAAGATAGCCTTTATATATATATAAAAAACTTAATAATGCATTTACGCCTAAGTTTAAAACACATTAAATTTTTATAAATAACTGAAGCAAGCATTCATTGTTAAGTAAAGGGTAAACATTTCACTCAGTACATAGATTAGTTCTTATAATATAGCCGACAACTCAGTGACTCAGTTTTTCTCTCTCAACGACGTTATAACGAAACAACGTTGAATGAAACGACGTTATTAGGGGTCTCGGTGTATACAAATGTAGGCACAAATTGTCTCATTGCAGTGTGATGTATCATACAGCACACGCACGCACGCACACACGTACGCACGCACTCACACACACACACACACACACACACATGCGCTCGTAGACATGCATGCACGCACGCAAACGCACGAACGCAGGCACACACAAGCCTTCCCGATCTGTATTACCACCTTCGTATAAGAGTTTCTTAACTGTTTGAGCCGATTATTCACTTGTTGAACAGTTTTAATTATCCCTCACTCATAGTCTATGGGCTTATGTAATATTTTTCAGATTTGTCATTTTTTTGGGTAGATTCTTGGCACTCATGTCTAAACACATCTAGAAACTTCACTGATTAAGAAAAAAATGGGTGCCAGTTTTTCCATTAACATTTAGGGCCTCCATTTTGAATTTCAAAATGGCCATCACAGAAAATCCTTTTTTTTTAATAATTGCTAATTAACCATAACTATTCATTCAAATGTCATACAATATTTATTATATTTTATTTAAACTCAT